TATGTGTGTCAGCCGTGCACAGGGGCCATGCTAATGGTTGTGCTCCACCGAGGTTCTTTGAGGACTTGCCGTGAAGAACAGCGGGCTCCACAGCCATTTTCACACCTTTTCTCTTTCATGGACCTCGCCTCCAATTGCTGAAACTTGAAGTTCTACTTGTCAGGCCACATTCTGGTCCTGAATCACTGGTTCCTAACTTGGGAGTACCCAGGCAGGTATCGTTTGCCAAGAACTCCATAAAAAATGAGACAATGCATCAGGCCACAATTCTGGCCAGGGTGAAAATGAAGACCACGTTTGTCGATCTCGTGTGGAGCTGTTCTCATAATAGCCTCGAAAGGGCCGGCAGGTGGAGCACCACACACTGTTACAGCATCTGCGCTGTACTTAATTTGAAAAGGGAAATTCCTCGAGGACGCCGCCGTGGAGCACAACCCTTTTCTCTGTATGGTTCCAATTTTAACGGATGTCCCACTTTTTTTCTTCCTTTTTTTCCCCCTTTTTTTTGTTGGTTTTCTTTCTTTGTTTCCTTTTCCCTCTCTTTCTCTTTACCTGTCAAACAAGACAAATGAGAACTCAACCTGTGAAACGGTTTTCACCTATTACGGTGACAGATGCAGTACCCAGGGCTCGATCCCTAGACCTTCCCCCTTACCCGTGTACAGTACCTGACGACCCGTGTGTTCGAACCGGCGACCTGTCTTCTGAAAGTCGTATGTTCAACTGTTGTAAATAGTGCGGTCGCCGGGGGTTTGACCCGTAGACTTTAGTTTTAGCAGTCCTAGGGTCAGTATAGGTCATAGTAACTGTAGCTCCGAAAGGTCAAAGTCCACGACCTTCCGGAAGCTCCGGAACTGGCTCTTCTTAGGTCTTAGGAGTCGGTCCGCGGCTGACTCAGCGAAGGGCAGTCCTAGAACAGTCAGCAAAGGACAGCCCTAGTCCTACCTAGCCCCGTCAGCAGTACCCAGTCCCAGGGTGCACTTTGTCTAGTCAGCAAGTACCATGTGGGGCTGTGCACACCCTGGGCCCAGGGTCCAAGGGCAGACCTACGACGATCCAAAGTATAAATAAAGAGGCAGCGTCAAGTCAAACATTCATTCTGCCTGTGAGCCGTGCGAAGCGCTATCGGAGCGTCTTGTGCTACAGGGTCTGCAGGTGCCCGAAGAAGAAGAAGGCTAAGAGGAGGAAGACACGGCCATACCCGCGGGGTAGTTAGTGTAGGAGGTAGACGGCGCCCATAGCTGCCACGTAGGATAGGTTTGTGTTTGTTTGTGTGTGTGTGTGTGTGTGTGTGTGTGTGTGTGTGTTTGCGTGTGCAGAGTGTGTGAGCGGGACATCCAGGGTGATCGAGAGTGCGTGCTTGTGTGTGAATAAGTTGCTGGTGGATACAGTTGATGAGGTGGGAAGCATTGTCCGGCGCCCAGCGCCATAGCCATCAAGACAAGTGAATCTGAGCTGTGTTCCTGGCTACGTTTATCTCTGAGCTTTGTGTGGGCGCTATGCGCCGAGTTTGATCGTCATCTGTTTGCATGCATGCTGAGCTGAAGAGAAGTCTGATTGCACTTGAGTGCCCTTTTTATTGGGTGTGTCCCGATCGGCAGCAGCAGGACCGGAGAAGCCACTTCCGCTTGGCCCGATGCTGCCGCATTGCAACGGGTTACAGGGCGGCACAACTCGGTCCAGCGAGTTACCAGTGTTGACGGGCCGTGGCCACCAATCCTCCTCAGGCCACTGAAAGTGACTGCAACGGGAATAGAACCCAGCACCTGCGCTGTGCTGCTCAGGCATGAAACCTACTGAGCTAGCCGACGGGACAGGACCACTTGGATCTTAGTTTGGTCTGAAGGAGAGGTAGGGGAACTGAAACAACACAAGCTGAAGTAGAAGCAAAGAGCAAATCAGGGAAGGGAGATGAGTTTTTTGTGGTAGGTACTATGGGGTTCCCTGGGAGAGTAGAGAGATTTGAGGTTGCTGCCTATGAGAGGTATAGACGGAGTAGGATCCTTCCCATAGGCACTTGGAATACTTGAGTCTGTAGTTATCAGAAATAGATACCCACGGGATGGGGATGTGCCGTCTCTTAGATAGCTGCTCTGCAGCGGTCTGCTCAGGAGCAGATTTCTTCATCAGGGCAACCCATTCTCCTGCAATGGTCGTATGTAGAGAATGCCTTAGTCGATCCCCCAATTCTGGAATTCGCTGATGAACATTGTGAAATCTGCTGTCCCTGTGGGCCATTCACAGAAACCAGAAACTCTGAGGCAATTTTTTTTTTTTGTGGGCGATGTCGTTGGCTTCCTTGTTCAGCGAATCTGTAGAATCTCTGCCAGTGATGATGAATTCCTTGTTCCCCATGTTGGTGCCCCTGCCATAAGTCTGGAACCAGATGGAGCCCACTTCGTCCCAGGAGCCTGGGGCGATGACACACTCCCACCAAAGGTGGGGTGAGTGCTAAAGAGGGTGGGATGGGGCCACGCATCGCAAGGGGTGTCGATGGCCGTGCCTTTGCTCATGTGCCATGGAGCTGTAGGTGTACTCAAGTGAAGGTGGAGCCATTGTAAGCCTCCTACCCCTTTACCTCAAGGCAACCAAGAATCATATTGATGTAGAAGTGTATCCACTCAGGAGAAATCAGGTGTAAATCGAGGCTAGAGAGCTGTGAGGACCACTTGTAGAGAATGTTAGCTTGTAGGGTTGAGCTGTTAGGATGTAACTTGTAGCCAGATGTAGAAGAGTACCTAGGTCTGCTTTTGGTTTTGGATAGATGATGGCATCAATAGGAATTCAGGGATTGGTAGATGTAAGTGTACAAGTGGTCCAGATTATCTTCCTGATTATCTTCTTAGTTGAAATTGGGTAGAGGCTTGTGTAATCAGGGACGCTGGGCCCGATTCCCAGCACGTGCTGCTCCCCACGAATAGATTGGAGCTTTACTGGAATTAAAAAAAAAAGGAAAAAAAGGGAGTTTTAGTAATGGCGCCAGAGTTGTCAGTTAGTCGAACTTAGTCCATCCTGTTTTTTGCGCAGCAACCTTCCTCTCCTAAGGTGGGGTGAATTCTGCATGAATTTGGTAAGTAATTTGACGCTGTTGGTTCTTGATGGGGTTTAATGGTGACTTTTTTTTTTTTTTTTTCAAACAGAAATCAGCTGGAGCTGAAGCTACCGGCAGGGGTGCTGATAGGAGCAGGCACCACTAACACGCCCAGGGAGGCTCCATCTATTTTGGCGGGGAGCAGCACCTGCTGGAAAGCGGGTCCAACGTCCCTCAACATTTGTAATTGTTTGTTCGGACAGACATGTGGTTATAGTATGTGAGAAGTCCGTCCGTTAACGATGAGCAGCATTGATTGCCCTCGTACTCGTATGAGGGGATTAACTGCCCATCAAAACCCTGGGATCGGTGCACTACCTAGCCCTCCAAAAAAGATCCGATCGTATCGAATGAGAGCGAGCCAAATCTATTTAGTTAAAATGACAGCAGATCAGATGAAATGAAATCCAATCCCCGGGCCATCACTTCTTTCCATTGAATGTTATGTGGAAGGTGGGTGGTACCAATTATGGATTTCAATCACTGGTCAACAATAATCCATTAGCTTGACAACAGCAGATCCATCCTCCTGTATTTTCTTCCACCCTGTATATGTGTCGGGGTTGGTTCGGTTCCTTGATCCACTGTAAGGGGCGGAGCCGGTTTTGGGGGGGGCAGAAAAATAAAAGGGGCAGAGAGTTGAGGAGGCAGTCCTCAGGACCTCAAGCCACTTGACCGGTATAGCATTTCTTTTGTTTTGAATATGAAAAACTAAGTTATGTTCTTCTTTGAATATACTGCTCACTACCTACCTAACTAGGAATGATACACACCTTGATCCACGCACCAGCAGCAAGCTACACTAATGGTTACGGGTTGAGCCTATCCCCTCAGAGTTGAACCAACCCCTGGCAACGGGTGGCATTCCCCACCAGCCAACCAGGAGGGACAAGCTGACTATCTCAAGTAGTGAACGCGGAGCGAGCCTCAGGATTTGTCGGGGTCTAATATCTGGCTACACACCTTGATCCACCCACCTGCGGCAAGCTACACTAATGGGTATGGGTTGATCCTATCCCCTCAGGGTCGAACCTAACCCATGGCAATGGGTGGCATCTCCCACCAGCCAACCAGGAGGGACAAGCTGACTATCTCAAGTAGTGTCCGCGCAGCGAGCCTCAAGATTTGTCAGGGTCTAATATATCTGGTTAGGTGGGATTCCATGTTGCGTAGATTCAGTGGAGTTGCGAGCAAATGGAATCTTCTGGTTTCTAGTCCGAGTCGTTTGTGTCCCAAACGTAGGTGATCAGCCATTTACCCTTTTGCATCCGCTACGCCCGGTCATTATAGACGTATCTAAACTGAAGGGCTGCCCCAAATATATAGCTATAATAAAGCGGGCCATGGTGCTGGAAGATGTTTTCAGAAACATGTGATGTTTGGCAAAAATGTGAGTAGCCGTTTCCACGGACTTTACCCGAATAGAATGCTTGGTCATTATTGATGTGTCCTGACTGGAAGTTTCCCCAAGTACAACTATAATGACCGGGTGCTGGTGGAAATGTGGGCAGACATTTCTACCATCTTCACCTGAATAGAATACTTGGTCATTATCGTTGTATCTAGGTTGGAAGTTGCCCCAAATACAACTATAATGATGTGGTGATTTATTCAGGTGAAAACGGTGAGCACCTGCAGGCCAAGCACTGGTTTGGCATAAATGTGTACAGGAAAAAAAAGGGGGGTGAGTTCGGTTCTGGTGCAAACAAGTTTGAAAAGGGCAGCAAAATCACGCGGGGGCAATGAACTCTCGTGCCGAGTTCAAAAGAGCAAGAAAAACATTTTCACCCTTGCGCCGAGTTTGAAAAGGGCAACAAAATCACACGTGGGCCACGACAATTTTTTTTCCCGATATCGCCGTTTTCAAACTCCAGACCCGGCTTGGTTGCCCGCAAATGTTTTTTTCATGGTTGTTCTGGACCCGGACAACCGAACATCCAAACACGGACAACAGACCCGTGTTTGGATCAAACCGGACGTCCGGTTAACCGGACCCAAAACCGGACATCCACCCATCCAGACCCAAACAATCCCCCAAATGAAGGCGAGCCAAATACTTGGACGCCTTCGTTGATTTCCGCCAAGAATCGTTGAGCTCACGCTCAAGCTCAAGGAGACTGCCCTGGATTCGTGTGCGTACCATTTGTCCTTCGCCTCCATTATTTTCCTCCACCTCGACCACATCTGCGACATCGTCATCGTCCTCCTCCTCGCCGTCGTCCTCCGACTCATCATCGCATTCCCTTCTCCTATTCTCCTCGCGTAAACGGGACCGCCACTCCACACGCATGTCCGCATGCGCTTGGACCTCCTTCTCGAGGTCCAAATCCTCCTCCCACAAAAGCTCATCCTCTCCTGTCTTGGGCTTCTTCGTCAACTTCTTCAACAAATGTTGATTCCATCTTCTGTACACCAAGGTGCTCGGCTTCACCGTTTCGAGCCTGTTTCGCGGGCGGGAGTGGATGCGCTCGAAAAGGCTCTAGTTCCGTTCAAAGCTGGAGGAGGAGCCCTGACCAAGCAGCCATTTTGCTTGTTTTTGGAGGTGGGGCAGCTCGCTGCACCATTTCCTCCACCACCGTGCAGGTTGCATCCCGCGTGCTTGTTGCATCGCCTTCTTCGACCTGAACTTGCCGACGCCATCGATCCAATTGTTCACCTCATCATCCACCTCCTTGTACATCGCTGGCTTGCACCACCCATACACCCACATCCAAAACCCGTTTGCGACCTCAAGATCTTGCTCCGGCTTGCTGGCTTTGTACTCGGGATCCAAAAACATAGCTCCGCAATGCAACGGGGATGTCATGACATTCCAACGCCGCATGATGATGGTCTCCAACTCATCCTTCTCCACCTCCGTGAACGTCTTGCTCTCTCTCAAATTCTCCACTAAAGTGCCTATGCGGTCGTATATTTTGCCGATCGTGGGGCGATCCCCGTCCACGAACTTCAAAAGACTAAGTAGGCCCTTCGAGGTCTCCAACACCTTCTGCACACGAACCCAAAACGCGTTGTCAAGGACAATCTCGTTTGCTGCGTGGAACAAATGCCGCTATGTAGGGTTGACGATACTCTCCTTCCAATCGTCATTGATCAAGCAGGATCGAATAGGCAGGTAGAGGCATTGCAAACTGTTCAACACGATAAAATTTGTGGCGAACCGGGTTGCGCCCGGTTTCGCCACAATTTCCTTGCTCGATTTGGAGAGGAGCAGGTCCCTCACGCGTGTGTGGATGGTGAAGAATTTGCCATCCTCGAATGCACGTCGGATCGTCACATCGACCCAACCAATCGTGGTGAATGCCTTCATCATGAGGTCGATACTGTGTGCTGTGCAGGGAATCGAGAAGATGTGAGGGAACTCAGCCTCGATCATCCGGCCTGCAGCTGCGCACACTGCGGCATTGTCCATGACCACCCCCACAACAGCATCCTCCCCGACCTCCGTGCTCCGATTGCTCATGCAGACACTACGTCAAAAGATCGTGCCTTTCGGAAAGGACACCATAACATTGATGTGAGGCCTTGCTCTACGATCAGTCCAACCATCCAGTTGCAACAAGCAACCAGTGACAGGCCACCGCTACCGCAGTTCCTCCACCCTTGCTGCAACCCTCCCCTTCGTGACCTCCACACGAGTGGTCCTCGCCTTCTCGTATTTCCGCGTACTTGAAGGACTCGTTCGCATTCATCAACGCCTTCACCATGTTGTCCCACTCCTCACTCTTCATCATGTTGACGGGGATGCAGTGGGCGGTCATCCAATCATCGATTGTTTGTTGTGTCTCCGCATTCTTCGTAACAACGATGGCACTGTCCGTGATCAAGGATTGCTTTGTCCCAGTCCTCGATCTAGACGCCCCTACGACACTGCGTGGTGGCATCTCTCGTGCCTCCGCCTCGCTAGCCTCACAATCATCATGCTCTGAGTGCGCATCAGCAGGTTTGACAACCCCCCCAACCTCTGCGATTGCAACATTCTTCCCCCTTTCCCTCTCTTGCAGCTCCTCTTTCGTCAATCTCGCTCTCAACGACCCGAGCTTGCATCTGTTCAAGAGGAAGTGGTCCCTGAACCTGCTCGCAGTGCCAGCGACGGGCCTCTCACAATACTTGCACTGCCTGTTTTTGTTCCCTTTAACAATTGGCCCATTTGGCCCCAAGTCCAGGAAGTGTTTCTTCACACCTTCGCTGGCATGCGTCGACATTCTGCAAAGAACGAATTACAAAAGCAAGCACAACTTTTGTTAGATCTAGTGCCTTCCCCGCATCCCAAACTCTCTTTCACCCCATCCCATCAAACAATCACTCAATCAACCGATCAATGGATCAATCAATCAATCAACCAATCAACCAATCAATGGATCGATCAATCAATCGACCGATCAATAGATCTATCAATCAATCAATCAATGGATCCATCCATCCATCCATCGATCAATCAATCAATCAATCAATCAATTATACAATTAATCAATCAATCAATCGATCGATCAATCATTCAATCGATCTATCATCCAATCAATCAAACAATCAATCTATCGGTCAACCAATCAACCAATCAACCAATCAATCAATCAATCAATGGACCAATCCATGGATCAATCGACGGATCAATCAATGGATCAATCGACGGATCAATCAATGGATCAAGCAATGGATCAATCAATCAATGCACCAAACAGATAGCTCGAACGCACCAAAATTCAATCGACAAGAGCAAAGCAGCGAACTCGTTTGCCAATGTTACCGCAAACGAATCGCGCAGAGGTCAAGAGAGTCATGTAACAAGCCGAGAGCTCGAACGCACCGAGATTCCATCAACATTAGAGCAAAGCGAACTCGTTTGCTAATGTTATTGCAAACGAATCGCGCAGAGGTCCATAGAGTCATGTACCAAGCAGAGAGCTCGAACGCACCAAGATTCAATCAACATTTGAGCAAAGCAGCGAACTCGTTCGCCGATGTTATAGCGAACGAATCGCGCAGAGGTCTAGAGAGTCATGCACCGAACAGATAGCTCGAACACACCAAAATTCCATTGACATAAGAGCAAAGCAGTGAACTCGTTTGCCAATGTTATCGCAAACGAATCGTGCAGAGGTCCAGAGAGTCATGTACCAAGCAGAGAGCTCGAACGCACCAAGATTCCATCGAAATAAGAGCAAAGCAACGAACTCGCTTGCCAATGTTATTGCAAACGAATCGCGCAGAGGTCTAGGGAGTCATGTACCAAACAGATAGCTCGAACACACCAAAATTCCATCGACATAAGGGCAAAGCAGCGAACTCGTTTGCCAATGTTATCGCAAATGAATCGCGCAGAGGTCAAGAGAGTCATGTACCAAGCAAAGAGCTCAAACGCACCAAGATTCCATCGAAATAAGAGCAAAACAAGCGAAGAAGTGTCATCATGACTTGAATGCCAGCAGCCATTGATTGAGGAGTACAGCCAAAGGTCGATCGATTGATCTATCGGATGGATCGTTTGGTTGATTGATAGATTTTGATTCATCGATCCATTGATTGATCGATCGGGTGTACCAGAATCTACCTGTTCAAAAACATCGACCTTTTCAATGGATCGATCAATTGACCTTTTCAATGGATGGATGGAGAGAGAGAGAGAGAGAGAGAGAGAGAGAGAGAGAGAGAGAGAGAGAGAGAG